GCTTTAAGAGTTCATCTATACTCCCCTGCCACCCCCACCTCCCCAAAGCACCCCGTTGTTCTGTGATTCAGCTCAGAGTCCGCTGTTTTGCGGAAGATTGTGCTGGTCCCTGATCTAAGTTAATCTCTTGTCTGTGGTTCCCCAAAGATGTCCCGAGGCTCCCGAGGAGGCACATAGCTCTGCCGGGACGACCTCTGCCTGGACGACCTCTGCCGGGCCACATGCCCACATCCCAGTGGGGTACACTGCCTCACTCCTTGTCTACTTTTGCAGTGGCTGAGTCACTCTCCATCCTTTGAAATTTAACCTCTAGGACCCAAGCTGTCTCTTCAGCGCCCACACCATGACTCACCGCTCCCTTCAAGCTCCCAGCTGCATTCAGCTTCACCCTCAGCTTTGCCTGGAGCTGCTGCGCCCTTGGCCCAAATGCTTTGCCTCTATTGCATCATCCCCTCCCAGTTATTACCATTTGCATGCACTCACATGCTAGCAGGAACTCGGTCTATCTCTAACCCAAACAGCCTTTTTAGGGCTTATCCAACTGCAAAATTTGCATCTCAAATAAGATGGCACAAAACTAATGCTAGCTAGTTGGAACTAGTCCTAACTGGCTGTCTGAACTTCTCAATCTGCTTCCTAGGTGCTTCACACCTCCCCAGTGGCACGGAGCTCACCCTGTAGTGAGCCCAGAGAGCCAGGCGTTGTTTCTGACCACGGTCCTCATTAACCACCCTGTCTGAACCCTCACCATCCCTGAGAGCTCCGCCTTCACTCGTCTCTCTCTGGCCCTACATGCCCCGCGTGGGCCCAAGGAAACCTACTTTTTCCTTGACATTACTACTGCTTCAGAACTGTGGAGACCAGTCCCGTGGATCATTCAAGTGCACCCCAGGAGTACAGTTCAAGACCTTTCACCTGCAGAAACTGCTCAGTGAGTTCTCAAAGCCCAACTTCTCTGCACTGCGTCCTCACTGCCTGGCCTGCTGGGGTCGCCCCTCCGTGCCCTTCAGTCACAGGGTCTTCTGTCGGGGGCAGGGTCTTGGGAGTTTGCTCAGGCTCCTTCCCCTTCCTGGCCTTTGCTGAGTGTTTAGTTTCCTTTTAGATTTTAGATTTGGGCTAAAACTTTGCTTTCCGAGAGAGGCCTTTTCTAAAATCCTTTATCCAAAATCAACAAATAAACGCTACTTGCGATTCCATTATCTTTCTTTTGTGAACAATTACTTACTAGTTTCCTTTTAGTGTTTAATTTAACTTGTGAACACCATGAAGGCGTTTGCTGTATGCATTCAGTCCTGGCACAGAGAGAATGTATTAAAGCCAAGAAGTGGATCCTCAAGATGTTTGTTTAAATACTTCACTCCTCTCCACCCTCCTCCTGCAAACACTGTGCACTGTGAGAAAATTCATGTTTTTTGTATGATATAGTTTTTAATTAGAACTACTCTGTGAGGAATTGTACATCCAGAAGAAATTGCAATAAATAATGCAGTGATCCCTGGTGCCTTTGTTCAGTTTCCCGCAACAGCACCTTGCAATTCTATAGTGTGGTGTCTTTGCTTGCACCTTTTTAACCCCTGCCAGCCATTCTCTGTTCCCTATTTCCATAATGTTGCTGTTTCAAGAATGTTAAACCAAATCACACCATGAGTCGTATTTTGAGACTGTGATTCTCTCCATGTTGTTGGTTTGCATCAACAGTCCTTCCCTTTTCTCTGCTGAGTAATATCAAGTCTTCCCTTAAGATTCAATAAGAAGATAAGGAGAAGGGGAGGAACACTTGGCTTATTTTATAAGGTTAAATAAAATTCAGAGATGGTTGTTAACAGTGGTGTTGTCATGATTACTTGGAGTGACTTCTCATCCCCAAATCAGAGATGACTCCTATCTTCTTCCCAGGGTCCAAATTCAGTGACTGTGTTTTCATTTTTTTTTTCTAGTGTTAATAAGTGATTTGAAAAGTTCAGGATTTCAAAGATTCCTCTAAATCCAAAGTAATTTTCAACAAAAGAGTATTGTTTGTCTCTATTCATCTCAGGGGTTGGCTGCAACCAGATCCCTTCTCTTAAACTTTTGACTATGCTTGGACAAGTGAAAACTCCCCTACGTGACTCCAGCCTCCGAAAGAGAAAGGAAAAGAGGGTGATTGCCATGAGATTGCTTCTTTCATCGGGAAGATGTCTTGCTCCTGTTTGTAAAATGTTATATACTCAACACGGATGATGGCAATTACTCCTGGGTAACTGAGAAGTGGGGCACGTCCGTTCTTTAGTAAAGTATTATAAGTATGTGGGTGTACAGCACCTTAGGACATGGAGTGATCGACCCAGCCTCACAAAACAATCACACCTTGGCTCCCTCCTCTTCTTCATCTGAAAGCTGATGGGAATGCAACAGCCCAAGTCAAGCTGCGGCCGTGCTCTTCCCTTGCTGCCAAAGTTCACGCTCTTTCCACGAGGAAGGCTGGGTGGGTGACCTTCAAGGGCCCCTGACATACTGATGCTCATAACTACCTTGAGTGAAAGAGAAAAAACCTTCTGGCTTCAGGAAGTTGTATGGCCTCCTCCCTGCTCAGGCCACATGCCAAGGACTGAGGCGTGCTAGGCCGTACCCCAAAGGGAGATACCTGTGGAGACGGGTGTGGCGTTTCCCAGCAAGCCTTCAACCTGTAGGAAGGGAACCTCCCCTGAAGTGAGCGAGTGAGTCCGTGTCTGTCCTGAGGTGCTCTACACCCACTTTACTTTATAGTATTTCTCCTAAAGAACAGGCATGTCCCGCTTCTCAGTAAAGCAGCCTTTCTTCTGTGTGTGTTCTCTGTATGAAGAGTCTATGTATTACGGTTCTGTTTTGTTTTCTAATTCTCGTTTTAGACACATAGGAAAATAAAGCAAGGCTCAATTTTCCAAGCCAGTCAGGATGTGCTGCTGTCCCTCGAGGTGAAATAGTTGGCTCTCGTATTGTTCATTTAGGTAATTTTTATGACTTACAGATTAAGTCCAGGTCTTGCACACTGTATTACAGATGAGAGAGATCAAAGAGAGGTGAGGCCAGTGACAAGTCCCCCGTCAGTGGGCGCTCAGTGACGAGGACCTCCTCCGGGGTGGGGTCCCATCATTGACCAGCGTGGGGCACTTGCTCCCGTTTGGCCATTTTCTCTGCACCTTTCTGTCCTGCAATCACATCCTCATCAACCTCCCTCCAGTCTGTGACCTCGCACCTTCCTGACGTTGCCTACAGCCCTGGGGAAGGTTCTCTGTCCAATTTGCACAACTCTGTCTCCACTTTGCACCTATAAAAATCAAAGCCTCCAGGGCTGGGGCCACCCAGTCTGTATGAGAAAGAAAGAACGTCAATGCCATAAAGGATTTGGAAGCAAAGCCAGCTGCGAGCACCACTGGCTTCCAATGGGCATGAACTTGAATCTTGTGTGAATGATATACGTGTTTTTTTTTTTTTTAACTCTAGCTCTCTAATAATAACACACCTTATTCCTCCTCTGAAAGTTTACTAGAGTCAGAAAATATGCAAAGAGGGTAAGTGGATCATCTTATATCATCTAATAATGCTGTGAGGTGGGTTTCCGTATCTACCCACTTCACATGTAATGATACCACGGCTCCCTGAGTTGGATAAAGATGATAACTAGCCAAGATTACACATCTGCTGATGAATGAAGCCAGGATCTAAGTCCTGAGCAGAGAATCAATCACAGCCTAGGAATTGATCGTGGTGTCACAGGACCTGAGATAGTCAGCAGCCAGTGTCATCAACAGTGCCTTGTCGTCACCCACACCTCACAAGCCTCTGGCGTCTGCATCAAATGCTGATGCTCCTGGAGCCGGCATTAAATACGCCTGTTTCCCCCCTTCTCCTGGAGGGTAAGAGGTTACTGAGAAAATCTGGAGCTGTCCTTAAATATGATGAAGAAAGGTCTAAGAACCCACCACTTCATTTCAAAACCTGCGTTGGCACTGAACGTGTAAGTGAAAAAAAGTAGGTATTATTCCCAGGCAGAAAACTCCAGATACATTTCATGGAAGCTGTAAATAAATTTTACTATTGCCCTGTGGGACCGCAGTGCCCAGAAAGGCTCCTTCTGGAACTCTGGGGCTCTGAGGACAGCGGAGGGGCCCTGGGCTTCCCTCACAGGGCGGCAGTGGGGGCACGGGGAGCAGCAATGCCACATGGGCCCAGCAGGGGCCTCCAGAGGCCACGGCCACGCTTTCAATTTCACTCATGGTGCCCTCTCTTCTTGCACCTCACAGTGGTTTTTGAACACCCTGATTTATCAATTATTCAGGTCAGAGGTAGAATTTAAAAACATTTAGAGGGCCCACCCTGGTGGCGCAGAGGGTTAGGACGCAGCCCTGCGAGCTGGCCACAGCGGCCTCAGCACCAGTTCTATCCCCGCCTCGGAGGTGACCCACACGGCACGGCAGACCTCTCTCACTGCTCCCCTCAGCAGTGTACTTCATCCACCTGTCTGCTCTGCTCCCCACTCTGTCTCTGGTGAAGCCTCACACCACCCCTGCACCTCTGGCCTGTACCCCAGTTCTACATGCACAAATAAAAAAATACTAATAATAAACACAGCACAATGAAGCTCCCAAGACACTACAGCACGTGTTCGGTCCCTGGCCAGGGAGTGACCCACAGGGCACAGCAGACCTCTCCTGTCTCCCCGCTGCTCCCCTCAGCTGTGTGTTTCAGTAGATTCGCTTGTCCTGCTCCCCACTCTGTCTCTGAAGAATCCACACACCCCATCCCCCTCCCCAGCACCTCCAGAGGTGTGGGCATGAATGAATAAATCTTAAAAAATGAATACAGACTCAGAAATACCTGGAAATCCCTGTCAGTATCTCAGATCTCAGTTAACCAATCAGCAAGATTGCCCTTACAGCGCGTGCTGACAGAACACTGTCTGGAAGAAACCGAGCTCAGAGACACGCACCCACCACAAGCAAACACCGATCTCCTGCACACAAACGCAGCCTGCAGGTTACCTGTCATGTTGCAGTAGACCTTCAAGGGCCCCAGGGGCCCGCTGCCGTCGGGATCTATCCAGTAGTAATTGGACGTCTGGCCGAGATGCTTGTAGGCCTCGCAGGACGGCTCGTAGATAGCTGGAAGGAAAGAGCCCAGGTGAGCAGCGAGCAGAGGTGGGCGTGGGAAGGTCCGCGCACGCCGAGTTTAGCGCAGCGTAAGCGGCACATCGTCTCCTTAGACCACGGAGCCTTTTTTTTTTTTTTTAAATCTTAAAAAGCTTTTAATTCACATAGTCCTAGATAATATGCATTTTTCTCTTCTATTTGACTTTAGAACCATTTTTTTTGTGTGCACAGAGACTATATAACATCCGTTTCACAGTTGTTTGCTGACATATACATCATTTATTGTATGCATAAACATACCTTTTTACTTTCCCTGTTATTATTATTTAAATGTATGTATGACATCGTTCTTCATTTTTGTGCAACGTATGATCTCCCTGTGAGAGTCCCACCACCAGTTCACCCTGCAAGGAGGAGGACAGGAGTGGGAAGAGCTCAGGGATTGTAGATCCCTATTCTTTTTCTCTCCATTGAGACTCATCATTTGCTTCTGTCTCTACACTCATTTCTGATCTCACGAGACAACAGCAAGTTCCCGCTATAATTTGACAGTTGGGGAAAGGTCTAAAACGAACAGTAGTTGTTCAACAGACAATGCTTATCTCATTGTAGACTATGATAATTAAAAATGTGTGTCTGGCGAGGTGGACCTATGTCCCTGAACCATGGGCAGTGGTGGGAACCAATGTTACCTCAATAAAAAAGAATGAATTAAAAAAAGAAAAGAAAAGAAAAAAATATATAGTTATTTAAGGGTATCGTCTCCTTACTGGTAGCAACTTATTTTGAAAGGTCATAATGGCTGCTTGGCTGATTTGTTGAACTATCAACTCAAAGATCTGAGAAAATCTCAGCCTTTCTGCCTGCCTGCCTGCCTGCCTGCCTGCCTGCCTGCCTGTCTAGCTGCCTCCCTCACACACACCCACACCTTTTTTGGGGCATAGATAACACAAATTTCCCCAAATAGCATGCGACTTGTAATCTTCCTTTACTTCAGGAAAAAGGGATGTTCCTGATTCACTCGATCTGTACAGTTACTTTAATTACATCATTTAGTTTGTACCGAAAGCTGACATCTGTGGACTGAAATTACCTGACCTCTTCCCATTGTTTTCCTTTTTATTCCCAAGCTTTGCACACACACTCTTTGCTCACTGGAATGGTACCTGCTTTCAGGAGTACAAAACAGACATTATATAGCTCCTTAGTAAGAGAACGTCTAAAATACTATTGAGAAAACTTTTGAAGTCAGATCCACACTGACATCTGTGATGAATGTGAAAGCGCTCTTTACAAAAACTAAAGTAGACTTCTGGAGGAAATCTACGTAATGGCAGGTAGAGGGGCCTTTGGCGACATGAACTTGACCTCATGCTGGTACCCGTGGTCTGTTCTCTCAGTAAGCAGCAGGCCAGGCAGTAGGAGCTGCGTTTTCTTCCTGTTTCCTGTCTCATGTCTCCCTGGCTCCCTCTCCCCAAGCATGCCAGACCCGACGCTCATCCTTTTCAACAACAGCACGCTAGACTGAGACAACTCCCAAACCCAAACTTGATTTACTCAAGCCCTTCCTCCTTGCCTTCCCTGCCTTCTGCAGGTATTTATTGAGTGCCTTTGATGTTGGCAGCGGATTAGACCACAAAGAATAGCTGTAAACAACCCGGAGAAGGACCCGGGCAGCAGGTTGTGCTCACTAATTACTGTGGTACTGGTCATGCATGGAGGGTTCCTGGAGGAGGATGTGACCGGCACCTTAAGCAGAATCCATGCTGCTATCTCAGTGTAGCAAAGACTATGCCCGATTTCAATCTCCTGAGAGTGGAATAAACTACAGTTGTTCTCATTTTGAATAATGGATCAAGTGAAATATTATAATGAAAGGCTATGGGAAAGTGTTTTTAAACTTTAAACAGGAAGATGCCATCATTTGAGGAAGGTTCTAGAAGCAAAACTCCTAGCAGTAAAACAGCAGATCTTAGGGGGGTGATTGAGAAGGGAATTAGAGGGTCCAGGCTGCTCTGGCCATGGGTCAGTTGAGAGATGACCAGAGGAATAGGCAATGAGGAGGGACTAAGTCACATGAGAGCAGACAGAGTAGATGGGGCTGTTTCACCTGCCTTCAGGTCACAGGTCATGGAGATCACAGGCAGGTAGGAAGAAAAGGAGTCAGAATACCCCAAACTCTCATCATCTCTGCCAGAAACATGTGTTATTAATTTTGATGACCTATTACCATTTTTGTGCTCAGAATGTTGTGTTCAAAACTTCAGGTTTTCCAGTGATCCCCTTGGGACTGAATCTTTCACCTTTTTGACCCAACATGTGACGGCTGATTGTTCTCTTTTCCCTGCCAACACCCCAGTCAGTTTTGTTATTTGGCATCTTGTCTCCAATGATAAAATTAACTAGTTACACTACTCAAGTATCTCATTACTTTCCATGAAATGATGCTTTTTAGACAATGTTAGCTATTTTGCTAAAAACTGCTCATGGCTCTTCAGAATCAGCGATATCAGCATTATTTACGCAAGACCTTCTGCAGTCCTTTATAGACCTTTCTCAGCTTGAGCAACTTGCCTGTGCTCAGAGCAGGCAAATCCCACACGGGCTTGCTTCATGCATGCTGCCCCTTTCTGAGCTTGCCTTTATCTGCAATAATACGATAAGCCTCTTTCTTAATCTACACCGCTTCTCAGTTAGCATCGACTCTCGTGGCAGAAGTGGTAAGAAATCTGGCTCTGCACTCAAGCAAGATTGGGTTTCAATTCTGACTGGAGTGTACTGCTTTATACGTTGCAACATTACAAAGCTCACTGGCTTTGTCTCCAGAAGACCTATCCTAGGCATCTTAGATGGTGCTATGAGAACAGGGGAAATAATCTACATCGACCCCTTAATAGAGAGTTTGGACCATGGTAAACATTTAATGGGGGGCATTTTTATTATTAATACAAGAATCCCTACTTAGCTTCCATTCACACTCTGCTACCAGGGACGCGCTCCTAGTCAGCCGATCTTCCTCACATTCATCGCTCAGCCCGTTACTGTAATGCTCGGACTGAATTTCCTATGTGAACGCCTTCTTCCCTCCCAGGGAAGGCTCTAGAAAATGTGGCTTTGTTCTCTGCTCCACTTAATCAACATGGTAGAAGTTTAAGAAAAGCTGTCAGAACTATACATAAAACAGACCTCTTTTCCTCCTGTCCTGACATTGAGAGAAGATCAGTTGGCTAATCAGGAGAAGCATGTGCATGAGAGAGAATGATGGGGGATGGTACAAAGGCCAGGTACCTGCTGCCCGTCTAAGGAAGGGCAGAAGGAGAATGGCCTGAAGCCCAGTAGTTAACTAGTCACGGTGACGCAGGCATGTGATAGGGCAACCTGAGTGAACAAGAAGTTCTGTCCATTTTCTTCTCCCAGTGTGACAGTTACTGTACATGTCTCTAGCTGATGACAAGAAGACAGGCCTGCTAACTGCTTTGGCCTCATCAACACAAATGCACAACCAAGTATTTCAGCCCAAAGAATATCACGTGTGAGCATCACCTGCAGCACTTGCTACAACAGGGGCTTCTGGGCTTCATCCCTGAGACTGTGGCTCAGTAGACACCTGCAGTTCTAACAAGCTATTCGGTATTGCTGCTGCAGGTCCTGCTGTACTTTGAGAAACAGGACTTCCATCCTAAATACACCCACAAGCAGTCACATCCTTCAATCACAAAGGTGAACGGATCCTTTACGTTTCAGTATAGCTGGGTTGCTGAAAGGCAGCAGAGTAGAAGTTTACATAGAGTAAGGTTAGATGCCACCTCACTTCATTCAAAATAACAAAAGCAGAATGGGATACAAAACATGAAATAAAAATACAGTCTCGAAAGAATTAAACTTGGAGATTGCCCAGGAAAATATTTGGAAAGATCTGTAGTTACCGTTGTGCTACTGAGTGGTAAGATAATTTAAAACTTTCCAGTTTTCTGAGTGTGCATTATTGTATACTGTCCGTGAGTTATGTTATCACTAAAATATACTTGCAGGGCCCTCCCTGGTGGCGCAGCGGGTTAAAGCACAGCAGTAAGAAGCTAAAGCCACTTCTGCATGAGTTCGATCCCCACCCTGGAGGTGACCCACATGGCACAGCAGACCTCTCCTGACTGCCTGCTGCTCCCCTCAGCAGTGTGCTTCGTCGATCTGCCTGTTCTGCTCCCCACTCTGTCTCTGGTGAAGCCTCTCACCCACCACATCTCTGGCCTGTACCCCAGTTCTGTATGAATAAATAAAATAAATCTTTAAAAAAATATATACTTGCAAAATGCACAGAGAGGGTCATAGCAGCGAGGACAATGGCAAGGGTGTCTGTCAAGAGTAAAGTTGCATTCTTTTATGACTGAATATGTAATTAGAGACTTGCATTCCAGCATCGTCATTGTTGTTTACTATCTGGGAATTCTCCTTAACTTTTACTGATCTCAACTATGAAAGGAAGGCAATACTACCTGCTTCCTTGGGTTACTGTGAAGATTAAAATGGAATCACACACTTTGTAAATGGAAAGCACTGAGCATATCGAATTTTTTTTCTTTTCTTGCAAAAGCTTTATTAGTATCAGAATCACTGGCCTCCCAGAATGAATTGGTAAGTAGTCCCTAATCTTATGATTCTGGGGAGAGTTTTTTTTTTAATATTTATTTATTTATGCATATAGAACTGGGGTACAGGCCAGAGGTGCGGGGTGGTGAGAGGCTTCACCCGAGACAGTGGGGAGCAGAACAGGCAGATTGACCAGGCACACTGCTGAGGGGAGCAGCGGGCGGGTCAGGAGAGGTCTGCCGCGCCATGTGGGTCACCTCCAGGGCAGGGATCCAGCTCATGCGGAAGTGGCTTTGGCTTCTTAGTGCTGTGCTTTAACCCGCTGCGCCACCAGGGAGGGCCTGAGGAGAGTTTTATAGAATTGGACTATTTCTTTCTTAAACCCTTTTTGTGTGCTGCTTTTTATTTTGAAATTTATTTATTCATAT